CAAACAGTTTTCTGATTATCCAAGAACAATAATTTTTTGTTGTATTGTGGCTTATCTAACTTTTCTATGTGCTTCTCCCACTGTATAGGTATGATGCCAGTCTGCAGCCCACCCCACCTCCTGATTATGGTGCATCGCACCTCCATTATTTCGAAGACTGGGGAGTGGTGACCTACGGAAGTGCCCTGCCTGCTGGGAGAAACCACACATTTCTTTCCTTCAAGTCGGGCAAGCTCGGGGGACGTGCTATTTTCGACATGGTTCACCAAAACAAATACAAAGACTGGATCAAAGGGTGGCGGAACTTTAACGCGGGCCACGAGCATCCGGACCAGAACTCCTTTACCTTTGCTCCGAATGGAGTCCCGTTTATCACAGAGGCATTGTACGGTCCCAAATACACCTCTCTCAACAATGCCGTCATGTTCGGGCCTGCCGTGTTGGAGAGCTGCTTTGCACCATGGGAAGGTCAAGTTACAGAGGCTTGTAACTCTAAATGGCTTAAGTACAAGCACGGTCAAGCGGCAGACTGCCAGGGGCAGGTGGAGGCGACTTTGGAGCGGCAGGGCATGGTGTTTATTCGGGGGGAGGGTCACGGCGCTTACAACCCTGAGCTGAAGATCAAGAGTTTTCAAAGGAACTTACTGCTGCTTCATCCTCAGCTGCTGCTGATGGTCGACCACATTCAGCTGCATTTAGGCAGCGTGACGCGCAGCATGAGCGCCTTCTTCCACAACACAGACATGCCCTTTCAGGAAACCCAAGTCGACGGAGTTCACGGTGTTCTGATCAGACATGGAAACGAAACGTCCAGGATGTTCTGGTTGGACGATACGGGCAGCAGTGAAAAGGCAACAGTGGGATATAGGAGCTACCCCCGTGGATACCCCTATAATGGTTCGAATTATGTGAATGTGACTATGCCACTGAGGCACCCTACCAGCAGAGTGGCCTACATCTTCTTCGGATCCGGAGTGGATGTTCAGAGTTTCAGCGTGCATGGAGACTCAGAAACACTGGACATCTATCTGGCCACCGGAGATCACACCTACACCATCTATCTGTACACAGATGTGGTTCCCACCAAGCCTATGGCCATGGTGTTGATGGACCAAAAGAAAGTAGTGTTTGAAAGGACAGCAGGGACAAATGAGCAGCCCTTGGAGGAGGTAGAGGAATATGTTAATGTTGTGGAGGACAATCTGCAGCATGTCAAACCAGTCTTCCAGCAGCTGGAGAGGCACATCCTTTCACGGGTTCTCAACACGGACAGTTTCCACAAAACTGCAGAGCGCCTCCTAAAGTCCTCGGACAAGAGGAAGACTCCAGGGACTGTGGAGAAGATGTTTTCCCTTTCTAAGAAGCAAGGGAAGGGGAAGGGAGGCAAGAAGGCGAGCTTTTCCGACAGCCTCCCAGACATCTTTGCTCAGATCGAGGCGAGGGAGAAGAAGGAGAGGCAGAGGACGATGAAGCGTGTCTATGAGGAGGCTCCGGAGGAAACCGGCGGCGACTCGAGGGCATTCATCGATTACAGTGATTTACGAAAGGGCAGAAAAGTGGGATTTGTCAAGGGGCGGAAATTCAAAGAAGTACGTGTGGGGGCTACGGCAGAGAGCGACAATATGTTTGACGCCACCTCGTACATTCGCCTTTTCCTGATTTTAAATATAGCCACTTTCTTCGTCCTGCTGGCGGTGCTGATGACGCGCTTCCAGAGGGCGCAGAGTTTGCATATGCAGCGTTGTCTTTACTGCGTCCTCCTCATAGACAGCTTCATCCTGCTCTGTCTGTACTCCTCCTGCTCTCAGACGCAGTGCTGACTAACATCATCCCTGTGAGACGTTCAGAATGGTGCTCTTCGACCAAGTTTTGACACCAATACTATGGCAAAATATCCCTGTTTGCAGCAGCAGTGCATACAAGTGATGGCATGTGGTTCTTTCTCACAGGCACAGTCTCATCTTTACTGTGAGATGCGTGGAAGTGTCTTTATTCAGCACAGCTCTGAGTCAGTGCCAGCCAACAGGTGTCTGGGAAAAGTTGATTCTGTATAGGAATTAATAGATGTTGTGAAGATAGCCAGCCCACCTCAGATCAAAAGCTTTTGTGGAGCTTTGAAATAGTTTACATGAACTTTGTCTTGAAGTACACTCTTAAAAATAAAGGTGCTTAAAAGGTTCTTCACAGAGATGCCACAGAAGAACCATTTTTGGTTCCACAAAGAACCATTCAGCCAAAGGTTCTTTAAAGAACCATCTCTTTCTTACCTTTTTATAATCTGAAGAACCGTCTTTCACCACAAAGAACCTTTTGTGAAACAGAAAGGTTCTCCAGATGTTAAAGGTTCTTTATAGAACCATTTAGATAAAAGGCATCATGAAGCACCTTTATTTTTAAGAGTGTATAGGGCCCTGCACGTAACATAAGAGAGGGGAAAATGAAGAATTCACTTCCACAACATTACTAATTTGTGGAGGGAAAATATAGTTAAAGTGTTGGCATGTTATAGCAATATATTCCCTCGTTTTAGTTCAATTATGGCCACGGTTTAATTGACACGAGGTAACGAATTAACAAAACATGGCAACAAAATAAGTTGTGAGGGCAGATTTCTAAATCATGACTAAAGTATCTATTCTTTACCCCCTTGCAAATGTCATGTTTGGGGCTCTGTATTCTCCATGGCCTCCTATTATTATCCTGATTCACTGCAAGCTATGCACATTTGGTAACAACATGGACTATCTTTCATCATAAAATGTGTAAAATGTATATATGTTGAAGCAAAATATATTTTTTGGATGTTGTTTTATACTCTTCTATTAAAAGGCAACTATAGAAATATGTGTATTTTGGCGATTTCTTTATATGTGACCCTGGAGCACAAAATCAGTAATAAGGGTCAATTTTTTGATATTGAGATTTATTCATCATCTGAAAGCTGAATACATAAGCTTTCCATTGATGTATGGTTTGTTATGATAGGACAATATTTGGCCGAGATACGACTATTTGAAAATCTGGAATCTGAGGGTACAAATAAAAATCTAAATATTGAGAAAATCGCCTTTAAATTTGTCCAAATGAAGTTCTTAGCAATGCATATTACTAATCAAAAAATTAAGTTTTCATATATTTATGGTAGGCTATTACAAAATATCTTCATGGAACATGATCTTTACTTAATATCCTAATGATTTTTGGCATTAAAGAAAAATCCAACATTTTGACCCATACAATGTATTTTTGGCTATTGCTACAAATATACCCCAGCGACTTAAGACTGCTCTTGTGCTCCAGGGTCACATTTATTTACATTTAGAAAATATACATTCAAGCAAACCTTTTATTAGGGAATATTAAAAGCGTGATTTCCATACCCAATAGTAGAAATGAATACAATTATGAAATGACATAGACATCTCTGTAGTGAATATGTCCAGCTTTAATATATTTTGATAGCCTTAGTGTTGGTTTGTGTCTCAATATTTTGCCTTAAGAAAATTAATTAGAGGAAAAAAAAGACAAATTAAGGGCATTTTATTTAGAAAGTTTTGTCTTATAGAAAAGAAAAGTAAATAGTTTTTAGAAGGAAATTGGAAGGTGTTTTTTTTTTTTTTCACCAGGAGATGTTTAATTTTTTTTGTACTTTACTAAGCTTAAAAAAATATATATATATAACAGAAACTGTAACATTTTATTTATTTTGCCAGGTCATATTTTTGTTTGACTTGCAGTAATATCTGCTCAGATGAGAACACGTTTAAAAACATCACAGTCTTAATCCACAGGCACCCTTTCTTTCTTTCTTTCTTTCTTTCTTTCTTTCTTTCTTTCTTTCTAAGTAGGAACACTGATGACATTTGTTTAGTTATGATCATAAATACAAAGCTGTGTCTTACACAAAAAAAGTTTATTATTATTATTTTACACACTTAAAAAACAGATAAAAGCACACATTTTAACAGTCCTTTATGTTTGATTACATTCATTGTCCTTATATTAATTATGTTAACAAATATTCTCTATTCTGAAGCCATTCTTTCGATAATGTTGAAAACAAGTGTTATGCAATGCAAAGTAAAAGGAGATTATTCTTTTATATTATCGAGTAAAAACCACATTGTTTCCCTTTTGGTATCATTTGTGTCACCAGATATGTTTTTGGGTTAGGGTTAGGGTTAGGGTTAGGTTTAATGTTAAACTGATGATTAAAATTGCTAATTATTTTGAGACAGATTATTGTTGACTGAACAGGACAAATTCTGTCTTTGGTGAGATTCTGTCTTTAGTGGGATTGTTGTTTTCATTCATGCATAACATTATAAACATCCAAAACATGTAGAAATTATTTTAATTACGATAGTGCTTTAAGCTAGCAATGTGAAATAATGAATTGAACAGAAATAAATGTCCAGAAGTGTTCAGAAGGGATTTGGTGACACCTAGGGATCCACAGCGGTACTGCAGGGGTTTTGCTAAATATTGTGTGACGCCAAACTAATTTTCTTGAACATTTAAACCATTTGTAAAATATAGAAGTAGGCCTATATGACACAGTAATGAATTATTCAGTAACAATTACTTAAATGCTCTTGCAGTTGTAGAATTATAACAAAGTGAAATACATGCCTTTGTCCTGAAAAAAGCTGAAGAACTCAGTGCTCGGCATTGAATAAAAATGGTGACAGGAGTCTCCTGGTTTGCAAGCATGTATTTATTTATAATTTTGCATATGGACACTGGTAAATTGCTTTTTAATTAGGTAGAACATTTCAAGTAGTAGCAGCCTCATATACCGTACCTGTCAACATAATAAATAATATTATTTACAATTGTATGCACGATTGTTATATTTACAATAATTAGGCTATAATTATTTATACAGTCTATATTATTTAAGAAGTCAATTAACAAAAATATATATTTTTTTAAATAAGTAAAAGCGACCTTTTTTATTTGTCATGTATATTTTAACCGTGCATGCGTACTGACGCAGAGTGACGCGGTGTTTGTCCCTCGTGCGTTTCCGTCTGACGTTTACAGGAGACTGACGTGTCTTTTCTCTCAGAAATTTCAGCGTGAGATTATTTAGAACTGATTTGAAAATCAATAATTAATTAAACGCTTTAGTGCGACGAGAACACTAGTTCTGTAATTAAGTGAAGTCATGGCGGCAGACTGGGAGGAAATCAGGCGTCTAGCTGCGGACTTTCAGAGAGCTCAGTTTGCAGATACTGTCCAAAGGTAAAAACCATGTTGTTGTTGTTATTGCTGTTGAGCTTCATCCCGCCCCCTGCTTTCTTATGTCTTGAAGCAGTATATCCTGAACAAGAACTTGCGAAATGACAAAGAGTCTTGATCCACAAAGTATTGGAAAGCTGATGGCTCAGTTTCATGCGACATTAACGGTCGCGCGATAAAACGTCGTCGTCGTCATCGGTATTTACTAACATCATTTACTGTATAACGCGTCAGAACTGATCATCTCTATCCTTTACCTGCTCTTTTGTTGTAACTTCAGGTGTTTGGGCCGTGTCATGATGCACAATGATGCTCTTTGGACTGTATTACGGTGTCAAGCACGTTGTAGCCTATACAGTACAGTCAGTGTTGGGGAAAGTTACTTTTAAAAGTAATGCATTACAATATTGCGTTACTCCATTAAAAAAGTAACTAATTTCGGTACTTAGTTACTTTTTTATGGAAAGTAATGTTACGTTACTTTTGCGTTACTTCTTAAATCTGGACAGGGCTTGCTTGTTTGTTTTGAAAATAAAAAAGTTCTATTTTTGGCAAATATAAAAGCCTTTCCACACCAAAAGTGAAATGAATAAGCCTCAGGCTGAAGGGAAAGTACATTTACGTCCGTACAGTAGAATGCAGAAGAAGAAATTTCAACACACTTCGTCATATTCTGAGTTGCATTATTTAATTCATTTTGAGGAATACTCTATCTGTGAGTGATATGAATTAATGCATATTCATATTTATAGGGATGCACGATATATCGGCTACCATATCGGTATCGGCAGATAAATGCTAATTTTTTCTGTATCGGTATCGGCCCGATAAGAAAATTTGGCCGATATCTTAAAGCCGATAAATAATGCATTATTTCCTTCAGAGACACTTCAGATGAATAAAGAATTATCGGTTATCGGTATCGGCCAAAATTTTCATATCGGTGCATCCCTACATATTTATTTTAGAACTACAGTAACATCTTCTGATTTCTGTCAACATGGTGACACCAGAGCTGTCAATCAATAAATTGGAAAAAAAAAAGTAACTTGCGTTACTTGTTTGAAAAAGTAACTCAGATATATTCTTGTAAATTAAAAAGTAATGCGTTACTTTACTAGTTACTTGAAAAAAGTAATCTGATTACGTAACTCGCGTTACTTGTAATGCGTTACCCCCAAAACTGAGTACAGTACAGTACGGAAATCATGTAGTACCATATGGTATTACGAGTAAAAATATGCAATTTTGTGCAGATGTTGTTGTTTTTATGGCCAAAAAGTAAGATGAAATTCTGATAGTTTATAAGATAAATCAGTGAGATTCTTGTAAAAGTATAGCAGACTATTATAATCAGTGTTGTGGGTAACGCATTACAAGTAACGCAAGTTACGTAATCAGATTACTTTTTTCAAGTAACTAGTAAAGGTTACTTTTTCAAATAAGTAACGCTAGTTACTTTGTTTCCCTTGACTGACAGCTCTCATGTTGCCATGTTGAGAAAAATGTGGAGTAAGTACAGAGGCGTTGTGTGCGCTGTGATTTTACTGTAGTTCTAGATTAAATATGAACATTATTTACTCTTCTCACTGCACAAAAACAGATTCAGTATTCCTCAAAATGAATAAAAACAGTCAAATGCAAACTCAGAATATTATATAAACCTGCAATAATTAAATGTTAAATAATATTAAATAAATATTAATATTAAATAAGACCTTCGATGATCTAATTCAACCATACTAATAAGCAAAAATGACACACTTGTTATTCCTGAATAATGTTGAACTTTCTCCTCCTGCGTCATATTCTTCATGCAATTTGTTTGAGCTGCGCCCTCTACTGTACAGACGTGAATTTGCATTTTCTTCAGCCATTCATTTCACTTCTGTTGTGAAAAGGGCTTTTACATTTGTAAAAGAAGAACTTTTTATATTAAAAACAAACAAGCAAGCCCTGCCCAGATTTAAAAAGGAACGAAAAAGTAACGTAACGCATTACTTTCCATAAAAAGTAACTAAGTAATGTAATTAGTTACTTTTTTAGGGAGTAACGCAATATTGTAATGCATTACTTTTAAAAGTAACTTTCCCCAACACTGATTATAATGCATATTAACATCAGTTGTCACTCTTTATCGCCTATAATATGACTTTAGAGAAATACTATATTTAAATAATATCTTAATAATGCAATACAATGATGATTGACAGATGCACAAATAAACATTCCTCAAAAAGCTTGTTGTATGATGCATTCTATCATGATTTTTCTTTAAAAAATGTTAAAAAAAACTCATTTGCTTCAGTCCAGTAAATGTTAATTTTTCAAGTATTTGTAACCATATAAAAGTTACTCTTATGCTTGCATTACAAAACCATAAAGATTTTACAGCAAAAAAAAAAAACCTTTGTGAAGGTGGACATTTTTAGAAAGATACTAAATAATATCAATCAGGGACGTGTAGAAGATGCAAAGTTTTGATCATGTTTTGAGGTCTTACAAATTCAAATATCAAATATGATAGAGTAGGCGTAATAGGGTTGATGAAATGGTTAATACAAGGGAAGACATTACCTATTGCTTTGAGTGAATCCAGAAATAGCACTATTGATTTGTGAACGTAGCTGCCTGTCATGTATGATTTGACCTCAGAATTTGTTTTGTTAACTACAGGTTGTCTGAGAGGAATTGCATCGAGATCGTGGCCAAGCTGGTGGAGGATAAGAAGTTAGATGTGGTTCACACTCTGGATGGGAAAGAGTACGTGACTCCTGCACAGATCGGCCGAGAAGTGCGCGATGAGCTGTATATGCACAGAGGCTAGTAGAATACTTGAATTATTTGACTTTAATAAGTGTACTGTATGTATGAGTCTACTAAACGACTGTTCGAATCTAATGTTTTGCTTTATTATTTTAAGGGAGGATTAATGTTGTGGATCTTCAAAAGGTTGGTTTGATATATAACATAACACAAACATTTTATAGTTTTTCTATGCATCTTATGAAGGAGGGCAGATTTTATATGTGAATACATTTTTTTAAAGGAAGAGTTCACCTCAAAATAAAAAAATTTTTTTTGGTACTCCATCCAAGATGTAGATGAATCTGTTTCTTCGTCGGATCAGATTTGGAGAAATTTAGCATCACATTACTTGCTCAGCAATGGATGCTCTGCAGTGAATGGGTGCCATCAGAATGAGAGTCCAAACAGCTGATAAAAACATCACAATAATCCACACGACTCCTTATACGGCTTCCTTCAGCACTCGCACATCAAAATCCATGAACATATTGTTTAGTACAGTTTTTGCTTGTAATCAGTGCTTGATTGGTGCATATTTCTCTCCTGATTCAGGCAAACTTTTTCACTGAAAATAATCAATATTTTGGATCGAGGACTGGCATTTTAGCCTGAGGCAACGGTTTGAAGTTAAAAACGGCTTAGGGATGAGTTGAATTAATTCAAACACACAACTTCTGGCTTCACAAGATGTTAACTGATGGACTGGAGTGGTGTGGATTACTTGTGGATTGTGACGTCTTTATCAGCTGTTTGGACTCTCATTCTGACGGCACCCATTCACTTCAGAGGATCCATTGGTGAACATGTGATGAATGCAAAATTTCTTAAATCTGTTCAGATGAAGGAACATCATCATCATGTCCTGAGGATGAACAAATTTTCATTTTTGGGTGAACTAGTCCTTAAATGATTCTTTAATGTTTCTCACAGATCATCAGTGTCGATTTGGTGCATGTGGAGAGCAGAGCAAGTGAAATCGCCAAATCAGACAAAGGCACACAGCTCATTCTGGGTCAACTGATTGACGAGTGAGTGAAAAACTAATACAGCGTTACTTGTAGAAGAGAGGGAAAACTATTGAAAATGCTCTTCAGTTCTGTCAATATGTTAGTAAACTTTGTAGGTGGCTTATGTGTCATGCCGTTATAAATTTCTTCTCCTGTAAAGAACATACTTAGATCGGCTTGCTGAGGAGGTGAATGATAAACTCCAGGAGGCTGGGCAGGTGAACATCGCAGAGCTTTGCAAAACGTATGATCTACCAGGAGATTTTCTTACTGAGGTTAGTCCAGTCTGCGTGAAGTATTGGGATTCTTCTTGTTAGAATGCATCTTTATGAGAAACAATCTTTCAGCAGTTTGTGGAAACCTGCTTGCATTGCAGTTACAGTAATTGTCAAACTGTGGTGTGTCTGTCTGCATATACAGTTGTTCTCATAAGTTTACATACCCCTTGCAGAATGTGCAAGAGGGATCATGAAAATTGCATGTTATTTTTTTATTTAGTACTGTCCTGAATAAGCTATTTCACATAACATATGTTTACATATACCCCACAAGACAAAATAATAACTGAATTTATAAAAATGACCCCATTCAAAAGTTTACATGAATCTTAATACTACAGTGCCTTGTGAAAGTATTCATACCCCTTCATTTATTTCACATTTTGTTATGTTGCAGCCCTGTGTTAAACTGCTTGTTATTCATTTTTTTCCACATCAATCTACACTCCATACACCATAACGACAAAGCAAAAACAGAACTGTCACAACTTTGTACATTTATTAGAAAAAAAAAAAAACTGAAATAAGTACATTGCATAAGTATTCAAACCCTTAACTCAGTACTTCGCTGAAGCACCTTTACAGCCTTTTGTCCTTTTGGGTATGATGTGTCAAGATTTGCACATCATCATTTGGCAATTATCTGCCATTCTTCTCCTCACCTCTTCACCTCTCAAGCTCTGTCAGGTCGGATGGGGGCAGACACACATTTTCAGGTTTCTCCAGAAATATTTGATTGGGTTTAAGGCCAGGCTGTGGCTGGGCCACTCAAGGACATTCACAGAGTTGTCTATAAGCCACTCTTGCTGTGTGCTTAGGGTCATTGTCCTGTTGGAAGGTGAACCTTCTGCCCAGTCTGAGGTTCTGAACGCTCTGGACTGGGTTTTCTTTAAGGCTATCTCAATATTTTGGTGCATTGAGCTTTTCTTCTACTCTGATGAGTCCCTCAGTCCCTGCTGCTGAAAAACAGCCCCACAGCATGAGGCTGCTACCAGCACACTTTACTTTTGGGATGGTACTCTGCAGGTGATGAGCAGAGCTGGTTTCCTTGAAACATGATGCTTGGAATTGAGGTTCATCAGACCAGAAAATTTAATTTCTCACAGTCTGAGGGTCCTTTAGGTGCTGTTTTGCAAATTCCAAGTGTGTTTTCATGCATCTTCACTGAGGAGAGGATTGAGTTTGGCCACACCGCTATAAGAGCTACAGATCGGTGGAGTGTTGCAGTGATGTTTGTCCTTCTGTAGGTTTCTGCTATCTCCACATGTGATCATGGAGCTCAAATAGAGTGACCATCAGGTTCTTGGTCACAACTCTAACCAAAGCCCTTCTCCATCAATTGCTCAGTTTGGCCAGGAGGCCAGCTCTAGGAAGAGTCCTGGTTGTTCCAAATGTCTAAATGAAGGTTACGTGATTCTGTGAACCTTCAATGCAGCAGAATTTTTTCTGAACACTTCCCCAGATGTGTGGTTTGATGCAAACCTGTTTCTGAGCTCTACAGGCAGTTATTTTGACCTCAGGGCTTGGTTTTTGCTCTGATATGCATTTTCAGCTGTTAGACCTTTTATTAAGTCATGTGTGCCTTTCCAAATCATACACATTCAATTGAATTTGCCACAGATTAAATTCACTTGAAGTGTAGTAACATCTACAAGCAATATGAATGCTCCTGATCTAAATTTCAACTGTCCCAGATAAGGGTTTGAATACTTATGCAATGGAATCAAGTAAGTTTTTTTATTTTTAATACATTTGCAAAGATGTTAAAAGCCTGTTTTTAGCTTTGCCATTATAGTGTATGGAGTGTAGAATGATGTGGGGGAAAAAAGTAATTTAAAGCAATTTTAACATAAGGCAGCAACATAAAATGTGAAAAAAAAAGTGAAGGGGTATGAATACTTTCGCAAGGCACTGTATGTGTCATTTCCTGGGTGATCCACGACTGTTTTTATATTTTGTGATATTTGTTCATGAGTCCCTTGTTGGTCCTGAGCAGTTCAACTGCCTGCTGTTCTTCAGAAAAATCCCCCAGCTCCTGCACATTCTTTAGTTTTCCAGCATCTTCTGCATATTTGCACCCTTTTCCAACAGTGACTGTATGATTTTGAAATCCATCTTTTAACACTTAGGACAACTGAGGGACTCATACACAACTATTACAAAAGGACACATAGTATTAAGATTAAAGGGTATGTAAACTTTTGAATGGTGAGTATATGTAAACATATATGTGAAATAGCTTATTAAGGACAGTACTAAATAAAAAAATATGTAAACTTATGGGTATGTAAACTTATGAGCACAACTGTAAATCACATTAAATAATAATAATGACCCTTCTTTTCCACAGCATGATTTAAAAATGTTCCAAAGAGCATCTTGTGGGCTTCAGCTTTGAGCAAGAAAACCTGACCTTTTGTACAAAGTAGCTAATGTAGTCACTTTGGATAATTGATTTACTCATTATTTTTATACCATAACATTTATTTGTTTTACATTAAAAAAAAAAAATACTAGAACATTATATGAGCAACACACATACTTCTTTTCCAGTTGTAACGAAATGGGCTTTTGACTGCCTTCTCGGACAGTTTAACGGAAAGTTTAACACTCTGCTAGGAGCTGAACTCGAGGCTGGGCAGAGCGATCCACGGTCAGATTGATCAGTACAACAGGGGAGTGATCTTCACACAAGCGTTCCTCTCCAGACACAAAGCTTGCATATGCGGTCTGTTCAGTGCCATCACAAGGTAAGTAACTCCACCCCCTGTCTGTATCATGGGATAGATAATGGAAAATATATAAGAATAATTTACTATTACTAAGTTATCAAAATAATGTGCTGTTATCAGCCTGTTGATTAAAGTGTTAGTTTAACCAAAAATGAAAATTACTCATTCCAAACCCATAAGACTTTTGTTCATCTTTGAAACACAAATGTATTTTGAATGAAGCCTGAGAGATTTCTGTCCAATCATCCAAAATGTTCAAAAAGTTCATAAAGTGATCATAAAGTAATCGATATGATTAACAGATTTAATTTAAGCTTTTATTCACATATACCACTGACCAACACTCAATCATAGTACACATGAAATATGTTAACAGAGCTCAAACATCTCATGGGTTTTGAAATGAGGGTCAATTTTAGGTTAACTAACCGTGTAACCAATGCACAATGCACATTAGATTTATTTTTATAAATCTCCTAAGAATCTCTGATTTCTCGTATTTGTCAATGGAATATTTGTATGTCTTACCTTTTCCTTATAGTCTCTTTTGTCTTTAAAGATGAATTTCTCTGTAGTTTTTTAACAGTTTTGAGATTTCCATCCCTAGGCCTACACAGATCAACAACTTGCTAAATCTCTATGGTTTTCAGGAGAATCTGATGTACTGTGAGTATTGCAGTTTGCCTTTTTACACAGCCGTTTCTTCTTTGAGCATTCTGCATACAGACGGCTTGTTTGTTCTGTCTTGTCTATCAGCGGTGCTTGAAGAACTGGTTAACAGTGGCCGCTTGAAGGGCTCCGTGGTTGGAGGCAGGCAGGATAAAGCCATCTACATTCCTGACATCTACTCCAAAGCCCAGAGCTCTTGGGTTGAGTCCTTTCTCAAACAGAATGGATATTTAGGTGTGTTTATTTTAAATGATAGTATATATAGCTTATGCATTTAAAATGTTCAGTCTCCCTTCTCTGGAAATTAGGGGCCCAGAAAAACTGATGACTCCCAATGTATTGCAGTCGCAGCACTGGATTTACATTTAGTCATTTAGGAAGCAAATAGGGGTAGTGCTGTAAAGGTTTTAGAAGCCAAACTGTGAATCTTAAAGGCATTTCATTTGAAGTTTGCTGCTTTTTGTTTTTATTTAAATGAGAGATGAGTCAAAATATATTTTTTGTGGCAACTGACACTACGCTAGTTCTGGAGTTGAATTCATATTAATCCAAGAACAGTCCTGTAAAGCCCTTCTCAGACCAGTTGTGTCTTTTTTCCTGCAGAGTTTGAGGCGCTGACCCGTTTGGGGATACCTGATCCAGTCAGCTACATAAAGAAGCGGTTTAAGTCTAGCAAACTGCTTTTTCTCAAATCTGCATGTGTTGGCAGAGCCATCATAGATCAGTTGGAGGCCTCAGTGGAGGAGACTATCAACTCTGCAACTTGGGTCGACCTACAGGTACAGTCATGCAACATTTATTCGTATTTTTATTATTATTTTTTTAAATGGAAAAATACCTCCATAAGTGTTATGTTCATTTCTTGTTTAGCCAATGATCCCAAGCAGTCTGTCGGAGGAGGATGTAGGAATTCTGTTGAATGAAGTGTTGAGGGGCATGCATGTGCAGTCCAGTGCAAGGCTTCTCTCCACTTGTGTGGTCAGCGAGAAGTTCATCACGGGATGCATCGCTTTGTTTGATGATATTATGCAACAGAAAGCAAAGAAGGTATGCAAGCTTTTTCTGTACACTACACACCTGGAGTACCTGCACACATCATATTAAAATGACAAAATTGCCTGTTTTCACATTTTAATGTTCAAGTCCAAAATCATTTGTTTATGAAAAATCAAGTGCGCTAGCCAAAAAAGTTCAAGTTTGCTGGTTTTGCAGAATCTTCCATAAATGTCTATGTGGCAAGTGCTTGAATTAACATTAATATTAACATCAGTCTCATGAGCTCCAAGCAGGGTTATTATCATTAACTGTCTTTTTTTTTTTTTACCTTTATTTATATAGCGCTATTAACAATACAGATTGTGTCAAAGCAACTTTACAGTATTAAATAGGAAAACTTTAACTAAAACATATAAAACATATTTGTTATTTGAAATAATAAAAAAAAAAAAAAAAATTAAATGAAAATTAGAATTGTTGCCTTGGCAACAAACTTGAAAAAGTTGGAAGCATTAAAATACGATATAAAAATAAATAAAAACTATATCTAAATTTCTTTAAGAATTAAATCAAACCGATTAGTAATAATAAAATGACAAAAGCACTGAACAGAATTACTAAACATTAAACTAAAATAAAAACTAGAAATGAAAATATATAAATGAAATCAAAAATATTAATGGATGAACAAATAACAAGACATCAGCACATTTTTGGTGAACACACTGGCTTGAAAGCGTTATTTCCAGCAAGAAATAGCCTAATTCTAGACTAAAACATTTGAAGGGGATTGTCACTGGATGTGTTTAACTTCTCTGCTTTAACAATAGGAAGTGAAGAATAACCCAGTGTTTCTGATAACGGAGGATGATGTCAAACAAGCGTCTGTTTTGTTGGAGTCTTCAGCCTCTTCAAAGAAAGACAAACGAGACGAACGCCGGAAGAAGGCCTCAGGTAAAGAGAGTTAATTTTAGATAATCGCTTCAGATAATCAGATTAATTCATTTTTAAGGCCTCTGTGAAATCAGAATTGGAGGTTTTTTGTGGCTTTTCATCCATGCCTGCTTTTAGCGTTGTAACCATCTGTATGCTAGTGTATTAAATTGACGAAATGCAGGGCAAATAAACGCAAAATTTCAAATTTACAGTCTCTCTCCTCCAGGAAGAAAACATTACACTCGGGGTTATGCAAATGTTTTTCTCTCTGCAATACCATCTAACACTAAGCTTAGCAATAGAGAGAAGCCATTCACAGTTAATGGCTGTGATGAAAGCTAAAAGCTAGTACGGAGGAAAAGGTATGGCTTGATGAGCTCAATTATTATACATCACTCAGATAGTTTTTTTCTTTCTATAATTTTCATAACTTGCAGTAGTTTTTAATTCTTGTAGTAGAACATGCTGTTGATTGCCTGCTGTTGGATTTTTATGTTCCTCAGAGGGCAGCGGAAGCGTGAAAGGAAGTGGAGGCGGAAATGCTCGAGAGATCCGAATTCGCAAAACAAAAAAGAAGGGCAGGAGGGAGGAAGACAGTGATGAGGAGACGACACACACCTCTCAAGGTATAAACTTCGCATTTATTAGTTACTGTTCATTTTTAAAACAGCATATAAACATGCTGATTTATCCTGTTGATGTTTATTTATATTTGTATTATTTAACTTGTTGAAATTGTTTTTGTGTATATAGAAATTTGCAAGCTTTACTAACCTTGCTTTGTGTTGAAGTATTGTTTATTTTTAATTCATGTTAGCTATTTCTCAACTAATGTTAACGAGTTTTACCTCTGTAAAACCTGTCTGGTGAAATGTATAATGGTAGTAGGAAACAGCTGTTTTAATTAGTGACCTTGCATGTGTTACAGGCCGAAATAAGCAAGGAGACATGCCCTTCCTCTCAGTGGAGGAGATCATGGGGGTGCTGGGGGAGAAAGTGTGTGACAGCTCTGAGGAGATGCTGCAGGAACTAGCAGAGCAGATACAAAGGTTCAAACCATGATATTCAAGCATATGGAGGCCAAAAAAACAGGCATCAAATGTTTTTGATAAAGCTAAAATTTGGAATTGGAATAGTTTGGAATGGATTGGAATTGTTTGAAAGACCATCTCTCCATTAAAAAAAAAAATGCTGCATTAATGATATCTTGTTAGTGTTGGTCTGAGCAGATTAAGCATTAACAGCTGTTCATTCAGATTAAAATATTTATCTCACCAATTTATTTTCATACAGAACATTCATTTTGGTGTGAACAGATCTTGAGTTTGTTGAGTTTTTTTTTTTTTTTTTCCAAACATGAAGGATCTTCAGGAGGAGATCACCAACTTGTACAACAACATCCGCCTCTTTGAGAAAGGAACCAAACTCTTCTCAGGTTTGTTTGTGTCCATCTCAGTCGTTCTATAGAAAAAAAACTTTGCATACATTTTTATAGTGGTTCAGTCATCAAGCGTACACAAAAACAGAAGTGACGGCATTGTGCTTGTCTGTCCTCCGCTAACTTTTGTGCTTTTTTTTTCTGTACACACCAGATGAGACGCAGGCTACCATTGCCAAGCATGTTTTGAAGACCGTATGCACGGATGCGACCAATGTGCTGCTGAGCTTTGTGGCAGCTGAGCATATGACCTCGGACAGCTCGACTGCCATCACCAGTGAGGTACAACCTACTGCTATTCCATATACAGCATTCATAGCACAGTTAACTTCCCACCCCTGTGCTGCTCCTGGCTGGTACAGTCCACCAGAATTCGATTGGATTGTGAGAATTTGACTGACTTCAACTTTTTCTCCTTAGATGTTGGTGGAAATTAGATCAGAAGCAGTGCCAGTGTATAAACATACCAAATTGTAATAGACTGAATTAAGATGCAATTTGCGAATTAACCAATGAAGAAGCCATGCATAAAAACTAAAAATAATTAAATTAAATGAATGGACCATTCTGCTTCCACTTTGTTATTAGTAAATTTGGTTGAACTGAACCCCAGACACACAATAATAATGGGTAAAAATCTATAGCTTTGTGTTTGCTGAGGAAGAGGTTTGGATCAGATCTGAGCAGGACAACAGTCTGTCAGTTCTGCAGCGTGAGAAGAAGCTCATCAACACTGTGGCTGTTAAAACAGACCTCCTGAGAGACGAGGCCAGAGACATCAACTCTCTCCGATTCTCCAGTAGAAGCAGCTTACAGTTAAATTGGCTGAAAAAACCCCACACATCTATGCCTCTCTCTCTTTTACGTAAGTGTTGTGTCTGTTTGTTACTGTGTTGCAGATCAGGCTGAAGATTCTGGCGAAGCTCTCAGATGAAGTTAAATCTCCTCTGATGAAGCTACACAACAGTCTCAGTGGAAAGGTGTGTTTGATGACGCAACATGGAATCTGTGCTCACAGAACTGCTCAAATTTCAGTTCAAACGCCTGACTTTTACACAGTTCTACACATCTCCTGTTTTTATCAATATTTAAGTCATTTGATAATTCTTTCAGTTATGAAGTGTCATCATGTTTAAAGCCATTCTAGAGAATTACACAGATTTTCCCAAAATTAATGGAGAAAACGTGAAAAATACTACATATTCCATGACATTTTACTGTCAGTTGTCATGGGTTGGAAGAGCAAAGTAGCAGATCTTGTTTTTATCACTTGCAGGCCATTGAAGACTTTTTGTCATGTTTGGAGATGAGTGCAGAAGAGTGTGGGCTTCTTCTGAAGAAAGGCGACAAGAAAAGAGAAAGGTATAACCACTTCATTCCCCAGCACTGCACTGGTATTGATCACTGAAGTGTCTCTTCTTTAGTAATCAAATTGTCTGTTTTTATTCTTCTTCAGTCATAGGCATTGCTTTAAGGAAGCCTAAAGTTAACATGTTAGCTCAAGTCGACCCATGTAATTTTTTTTTTTTAATCAGCACAAGTATTTGCACATATATGTACAAAGCATCCATGTCAAGTCACCTTATAGTGCTTTTATAGCAGCTGTAATAGTGTATTATTAAACGGAAAGTAACAGAATCAATGATGCAGACTTCAACAATGAGGCAAATCATGTGATCATATAATTCATTTGATTCAAATTTTTCATTTATAACTATAGCTATTTAGAAGCAAATGCAGAGTTTACATATGGTTGGTGTGTGTGTGTTTGCAGGCAGGCTCTCTTTGTGCACCGCCAGGCTCTGTCGGAGCAGTTGAAGGATACAGAAGACCCTGCGCTTGTGCTGCATCTGACCAGTGTCTTGCTCTTCCAGAACGTCACACACTGTATGCTGCATGCACCTGGACGCTGTGTGCCGCATATCATCGGCTTCCTGCAAAGTTTGTATAATAGTTATTTGTATATTTCAGAGTCATTGCACACACTCCACGGGAAAAACAGGGGACAAACTGATAAATATAAATACTAAAATGCCATATGTGACCCTGGACCACAAAACCAGTAATAAGGGTCAGTTTTTTGAAATTGAGATTTATACATGAATAAATAAGCTTGCCATTGATGTATGGTTTGTTAGGATAGGACAATATTTGGCCGAGATACAACTATTTGAAAATCTGGAATCTGAGGGTGCAAAAAAATTGAAATATAAAAAAATTGCCTTTAAAGTTGTCCAAATGAAGTTCTTAGCAATGCATATTACTAATCAAAAATTAAGTTGAGCTATATTTATGGCAGGAAATTTACAAAATATCTTCATGGAACATGATCTTTACTTAATATCCTAATGATTTTTGGCATAAAAGAAAAATCGATAATTTTGACCCATACCATGTATTGATGGCCGTTTCTACAAAAATACTTGTGCTACTTATGACTGGTTTTGTGCTCCAGGGTCACATATGCTTGTGCATAGGTAGTATAGCAAAATGCAATGTATAATTAAACAAAACCCTTAAAATTCTGTATCATATGGCACCATGACAAATCTACAAAAACACATGAGCTATGCATTTGTCTGTGTGTGTGTGTGTGTTTTAGGAGCAGCACAAGCTGTTGTCTCAGTACCAGAGTCTGGTGGTCAAGCAGCTGGTAGTGCAGGGTCATGCCCTGGAGAAGAAGAGCAATCTGGGAGAGGGAGCCCAAGATGGTCCTGTTGTTTCTGATGATATGGAGGGCCTTCAGAAAGAGCTTCACACTCTCACCAGAGACATTAAAGACATCATCCTTTCTCAGAGAAAACCATCTGTCACAGAATAACACACAGTTGTTCGCAACAACGCCGTTAATGTATTCTGCTACATCATGTATTAGAGCTCGAATTTTAAATCTGTGAAATAAACAGACTGAATTCAACCTTGCAGCACATTTCCTCTATGAGAAGCAGTAGAAAGTGACATTTTTTTGTGCTCCTGAGACATTGGTGTCTCATATTGTAATTAAATTAGTAAAATTACACAATGCCGTTCCATGTAACTAGTTACTCCCCAAAACTGCTAACTACTGGAACAACACTAGAAGGCTTGCCATGTGGAAATGCTCGTCTAACCATCACTATTTGGTCAAAGTCACGCAGATCTTTTCGCTTTTTTCACATTTTTCCTGCTTCCAACACATGAAACTCAAAAACTGACTGTTCACGTGCTGCTTAACAAGTGCCACTGTAACAATATAATCAATGCTATTCACTTCACCAGTCAGTGGTTTTAATGTTGTGTCATCATTAGATGAAACTAGAACATTAATTTACGTTTTAATTAAAAAAGATAACAATTGCACCAAACTGTGAAAACATTGCCTCCTTTTTTCCGACCACCCCATGCCTTTGATTTTTATGTTACCTTGACATCACACAAAGTTGGAAAGCCTGCCTAACAAATGTGCACCAGGTGGTGATCCGTGATCATATGTAGAATGTGTTTATCTCTAAAGATTAATTTACGTTTTAATTAAAAAAGATAACAATTGCACCAAACTGAAAACATTGCCTCCTTTTTTCCGACCACCACATGCCTCTGATTTTTATGTTACCTTGACATCACACAAAGTTGGAAAGCCTGCCTAACAAATGTGCACCAGGTGGTGATCCGTGATCATGTGTAGAATGTGTTTATCTCTAAAAGAGCCTTTTATCACTATGTCAAGTGCCTGCAATTAGAATCAGGTACAAATCAGTTGCTCATTAAAGAGACCACACCTTCAGTTCAGTTCAGTAAACTGGCCTGGTATATGGGCATAAGCATCGAAGTACATCTTACAGTCATGACAAGGACAAAAGAGCTGCCTGAGGCACATGAATCTGGAAAGGGATTTAAAGCCTCTTCCAGTTCTGCTGTATGTAAAATGCCTTTGGCCTGAGACATGCTGGGATAGACTCTGCGACCATACACTGGATAAAGGGGCACAGAAAATGAACTGAAAGATAGACAAATTAAATATCCACAGGAGCACTCATGATTTCAGATTCTATAAATATGACAAACAACAAGCCACATAATTATGATTTCACAGCCACCCACATTCCTGCAACCTGATTAAAATGTACTGTCGTCTAAATGGATATTTTCTCGCAAAAGGTATTAACACTGCACTACATGTAATGGGCATCAATTATACATTTCCACTGATTGTTCTGAAAGCACATCAAGAAGTTTAAAAATGAAATATATTTGACTGTATTGTTGAACTATAATTGTTTACTCGATAAGTGTTCTGATGTTGCTGCATGCATTTCATTTGTCCATCAGAAAGACTTTTGACATCCATGATTTCTGACTTTGAAGAGCAGGGGCGCCGCTATGGTTTTTGGGCCCCCTGGACAGCATATTCACTCGGGGCCCCTGTAAATCGTGGTCTGGGTAAATCACGTTCCGGGGGGATCCCTCTCGGTAGAAATCGCGTTTCCCCCTCGGGGGCCCCCCTCCATCGCCGGGCCCTTAGAATCGCCCCCCCCCCCCGCGCCCCTGTTGAGGAGAACTGGATCATTTAAATTTGGTACAACAGCTGAAAGAGTTTTTGCAAGAGACACGATTTTATAAAATTCGGTGTAATTTTTTAAAAAGTCTGTTTGAATATGTGGTGAATCAAGGTCAATGTAGTCAAGTCAAGTCACCATTATTTATATAGCACTTTTTACAATGCAGATTGTGTCAAAGCAGCTTTACAGTATTAAACATGAATCTGTGTGGTGGTCGTTTCGGTTTTAGTTGTTTTCTTTGAAAGCCCTATTGAAAAGTCTGTGCAGTAGCAGGGCATACAAGTATAGCTTCTGTGCATTAAAGCTGTGATTTTGTAAACGGTTAGCTCCAGGATGTGAAAATGTATTAAAGCAGCTTTGCAGGGTGCAGGGACTATAGTACATGGTTGTTCCAGATGGCTATAATTGTACAAGCACGCAATTGCTTTCCTTTACATTTTTGTAATTGTCCCTTTTTCTTTGCAGTGTTCAGGGACAGGTTTCTTGAGCACTTTTTCCTCCTTGTTGCCATGGGAACGGCAGGGAGATGATGAGTAAATTCTTTTTTTTGAGTCGAACAACAATAGAAGTTGAGAGTTAGTGTGAAAACTGAAATGCCTCTATAAGAAAAATCTAAACGACCATCTCCCAATGCACATATATACACTTCTAAAAATGTAAGAACACGCTCTAAAGCTATACATGCACAAACAACAAGTGCATATGATCTGATAAAGCATATTCATAAAATATACAGGAATGAAGTTACATTATCAATTTCATAATATAGACAGACATAAAGCATTTTAAAAGTCAGTGTCAACAACCATAAGTTACTTTTTTTGATAATTACATAAAGGTGTGTGAGGGGCATTTATTTTCATTTTTCAAATGGCTGCTCTATTCTTTTGTTTTGTGTGAAAGTGATAAATGTGGTTTCATAAAACTAAAATGAAGGCAAATAAATATACAATGAAATTTACAAATATAAGTGTTGTGTTTTGTTTAAAAGACATGGTGAACACCATTGCCACGTTCGACCACTATTCATAGTTGACTTTAAAATTCAAATACATTTCCTGAATTTGAAGTGAAACGACAAACATTCGAAAATTTGTAGTTTAAATTGAAACTTAGGAATATAAAATACAAGTAAAATGTAATGAAATTTAATAACTGCAAAAAGTCTCATTTTTAAAAATGACTTTTTAGCTTGAATTATCCATGGACATGACCATACACACAACTTTCAATTTAAACATTAGATGAAAACATTTATCTCTATAATTTCATTTTATAGACCATGCTGGAGGAGCATTTACTGTATATTCCAAGAATGCTCTATTTTAGCTTAAGCTCTTTAAAATGTTAACAAGATGGAAACCTTGATAAAGAAAACTTGATATCTGTTCTTGACCATTTGGTTAAACCAACAAAATAAAAAAAAAATGAAAAAAATTATATTTCTTTATATTAAAACTTTTATATTTCTACAATCATTAACTAAATCATTCAAGATAGGGTGTGATTTCAAAGCATCTAATTATTTTTGTGTGACATTACAAATCCGGCATCTCCAAAAAACAAAAACTCCCACCAGAGTGTACAAACTCTAAATAATACAAGCTGGTTGCCAAGTAATACATACTGTTGCTAAGTAATAGCGTTCCACACATTGGTTCTGATGAGCTTCTAAAGCCCACAGCATCCTCATTAGCGGTGGCTGGAGAAATAATGAACCCCACAAGGGACACTAGTAAAGGGAAAATTACCTTTCAGATTCAAAACGCTTCAGGGTTTACCTCCAGCCTGGCCAGCCTCAGAACAAATCATCATCTAAATGAAGGTGGCACACTACAAAGGCTCAGACGGACACTGTAAATCAACCCTTCGCTGCGGTCTCAACTGATGCTTGCCATTTGACATTGAGAGGGAAAAAAAATATCCTTCAGCTGGTTGACTGGTTGGTTGTTTTTAATGGCATGTCAGCAACAAGCAATTGGTTAGATGCTGTTCATATGATATATAAAACAACCTTGTGCTGTACACAAATATCGACGGGGTTCCCGATACACTTCTGAGACCTTTCCAATCAGTCGATTAAAAATGATTTGAATTCAAACTGAACGAAGATTACACGAGTCATAACTAGAAAAATGTATACGACCACACAAATTCCATGAGTTTTAATTTGATTCATTTCCATGATTTTATTCACTTGCAGTCATGGAAATCACAATTTTAAAATTCACATTAAAAATCATGTATCTCCACAAAGTCATCTACTTATCAGTTTGGAACATGCTGCTTACACCTTTGTAAAATGCCTTTCCTTTATTTCCACACTGAAAATAATTGAAAACTGAGCAATCCTCCCTAGCTGAGCAATCAACAATAAAATTAAATAGAAAATAGTTAAGTGTAAAACAGAATCACAAAGCCAGAAAAGAAACAAAAGAAACAAAAACAAATACAGCACACAAAATCATATTACATTCATGGCATAAAACAGAAGATTGCACATTTTCACCAAATATAGCAGCACCTGACTTGAACAAACTTCTATTACGATCTAAATCCTATAAAAAACATTGTGCAATTAAAGTAGTTTAATGTACAGGCTCTGTAAACCATCTCATCTGTACAATCTTTTACAGCTAAAACATCCTACGGTTCGAAGAAAGACCAAACATATATCACAGCTTGATAAGACTGTACCGTAAGAATTACAAAAGAAGCTTCAGAAACGTCCTCCACTACACCGCAGATCGATGCTCCCCGCACACATAAACAGCACTGGGGCGGATACGTCTCTTCGTGTGGCCAGGCAGCAGCGGCAAGAACTTGAAGTACTTGGGCATCAGGTCAAGGCAGGCGTCACGGAACTTCTTGATTCGCCAGTAGTAGATGAGAGGATTCAGGGCCGATTTGAGGTAGCAGATCCACAGCAGCCACGTGCTGATCTCGAAAAAGTTCTGCCGGTAGTAGAAGGCACGACTGAAGGTGGACAGCAGGCTGTAGGTGGCGAACGGAGCCCAGCATGCGGTGTAGACTGAGAACAGAATGAGGATCGTGGTGAAGGCACGTGTTTTGAAGCTCATGTCAACGTTCATCTGAAAGGGCCTCTGCAGACTCATCAGACCCAGCTTGCTGGCCTGGCTGAGGCACAGCGAGTCGGGGTGGGAGTGGATGCGCAGCGCGTTGTGCCGGAGCGTACTCAAGATGCCCATGAACGTGTACAGCATCACCAGGAATGGTACAAAGAAGAACACCAGCATAATGAGCATCACGTAAGCATGGTCGCCACGCTCAACCGAGTAGCCAAAAACACACTGCGGTGCTCTGGGGGGAATGTACAGGGCCGGATGGCCAATGGAAAGTGGGAAAGAAAAGCAGAAAGACAGAGACCACGAGACCGTGATCAACACTTTGGCACTGCATGGACTAAGTTTGTCCTGCTTTTGCACGATGATTAGGAAGCGGTCCACGCTGATGATCATCAAAATAGCCACTCCCTCCATCAGGAACATCCAGAAGAACATGGCCGAGATGCGGCAAAACGCCTCTCCGAAGATCCAGCGTGTGGTCACCATTGTGACTAGCGCAAAGGGCATGTTGAGGACCGCTAACATCATGTCGGCAAAGGCGAGACTGGCCAGCAAGATGTTAATAGCGGAACGCATAGCGGCTCTCTGGTAAACCATGAGGCAGACCACCATGTTTCCGAGGAAGGCCAGCAACAGCACGCAGATGATGACCAGGCCAAAGAACACCTGGAGGGGCAGGTTCAGGCCCTGAACAGGGTCCTGCCAAACGGTTGAAGGCGTTACGTATTCCGATAGCGCCCGGAGCTCTAGTGAGCTGTTGACTTTTGCCGAGGAATTCTCCATGGCTCTTGTACCCGCTGGCTGGGTCAGCACCTTGGGCGTGGGGTACAGGGTGGCACTAGGCTGCCCTGAAGCCACGGGTGGACTAGTGGAGGAATAAAGCATGCTTCTTTTTGCATTTACATGGTAAAGAGAGCAAGCTCAGCCTCTCGGACAGGCCACTAGCACACATCTCAGCATGGAGGCAGACCCTGTGGAAGCAGAAAAAAATTAGGAATTAGAAAATCAGTCATGCAAGAATGTCACAAACAATCAGGTTTAACAATCAGGCTGCAGGTTTAAAGCTTAATTTGAGGAAGCCATTCCCAGATAGCTTTGTTTTTGCCAGAAACTGCCAGCTCGCAGTGATGTCCGGCTGCTTTGTCTGGGTGAATTGCTGGCAGTGTGAACCCTGCTTGACAGTGAATATTGACAATGTGACAAAGTTGAACAAAACTGTGAGTTTTTTAGTGTTCTCTGGGCAGCAGTCTCCAGAGTTGGAGTCTGTACTTGACTTTAAGTGTGTTGTTAATTTACTGTCCACCTTAATCCCAAAATATACTTTGGTTTGTATCAGGCATACATACAGTGCAAGTGCTGTAAATTTCATTATCAGCATAGTATCCAGGGGCCTCATTTATCAACAGTGCATAGAAAAGGTTCTATATTTTGTCCTTGTACTTAAATGTAGGAATGTGTGTAAATATAAGTTGGCCCAGATTTTTCAAACCACGCATACACTGTACATTTAGCTCACATAGGCACCATCTGCATTTTGCACTAATTACTACATCCACAAGATGGCAACACTGTCCCGGTCCTTTATTGTACAGAAAACAGATGAGATGGTACAAAAACAAAGATTGCCAGATTGGGCGGATCTCTGCCCGATTGGGTGGTTTTGAATTTGATTTAGGGTAGGGTGACCATACGTGCCATTTTTCCCGGACGCGTCCTGGCCAGGATTTCTATATTGCCTAAAATATCTAGGTTTTGGCTTTGTTTGCGTGTGCAGACCGATCGGTGTATGACATCAAAATACCATACAGACGGTTCCTTATGCTTTTAAAATGCTCTCGAGATACAATGATGTCAAACACTGATCGATCAGAGCTGCTTTTAAGTCGAACACACATCCTATGTACGCGTAATTGCATCGCTTTGACCGTAGATCCCACCTTCTCACACACACCATGATTGGTCCATTATGTACAATGCCTGCATGTTATTGGTCAAACTACTTTTCGATCATTACCTTCAGCAAGCATGAAAACAGGAAAAAACAAAGCCAAAACAAATCCTGGCAAGGACACGTCCGGGGAAAATGGCACGTATGGTCACCCTAATTTAGGGTTGTGCCGATAGATAGGGTTGGGTACCAAGAACCGGTTCCAAATTTCCAATAATCGGGTATTCGATAAGACATGTGCATTTCGATTCCGCTTAAACAAATTATGTTTGAAATTTATATTAGTCTAGCTGTTTTTTTTCAGTGGTATTTTTTTTTATATAAAACCATAGACATAAAACAGAATAAATATGTTTGACATCTAAATATTTGTATATTTCTTTTTACGCGTTTTTACTAGGTTACGCGTTATAACCAATCGCACACTTCACACTCAATTCTGTTGAGCTTATGAATTTAATGGCCAATCAGAGGCGTTCAGATGAGTCATTGCTGAAAGACGGGAGTGTTGTTGTTCAGCGCTCGCTGACTGAATTCTGCTCTCTCGTGAATTCTCTCATCATAAACAACAAAGTGCAGATGTACGTTAGGGTGGCCCTTATTGGGGGGTACTTTTTATTTTTTTTGGAAATGTTAACCTCTGACCACCTTATTTGTTTCTCCACTAGAAGTTAGTAATGTATGCAAAATTCCATCCAGATAATTTGTCATTTAGAGCGTGCTCAAAGAATGTATCTTTTTATCAACAGGTACTTCAAGAGCTGATATTATAGCGGTGTGTGCATAAACTCACACTAGACTGAAGTCAAAGGCGTTCTTTGATAATGTAAAAATGTATTTGCTTGTTTTCTGTAGCTGCATAACTGAGGAAATATGAGCATTATAATTAGTAACTTAAAATATTTTTAATATGACTGAGTTTGTACTTAACATGATCACAATTTAATAAAAACATTGTATGGCATGACATCCATATGCTACTTGACTATATAATGTGTAGTTAATAGATTACACTAACATACTGCTTTTAGCCTTACCCTGGAGTCAAGAGCAAAATGGCAGAGAGTAACTATAAAAAATAACGTTATATTCAGTACACAATCAAATGACCAATGCATGGGGCAACTGATTTATTGTCAGAGCAAACAGATGCAAACTGCAGTGTTCACATAAACATAATGCAGCATTCCTGAGCCAGTTTCTTCATATTAAATGAAAATTATAATCCGTACTGATGTTTTACACTAGAAATTTATCTGGCTGACATAAGATTTCCAGTCCAGTAATGTTTACATTACCTTATCTTCGTTATTACTACAATACATGCTGGGATATGCCATGCTTTAAATGAGACAGCAAATGAATAAATAATTATGACAGGCCGTTCAAAAACAAACAATACAAACACACTACAAGCAACATGTCAAAACACGTGTATCTAGATACTGTGCGTGTTTCAGAGACGGCTCGAGTCTGTATGCGACAGTGTTCATATGTGCTAAGAATCCTTAATCTGTTTAGTCTCCTCTGTTTTTGGTGGAATGATTTTGATGTCAAAGGGAAAAAAGAATTCTGTCAGTGCTTTGGCATCTTTTGGGTCCAGAGAGTACTCCTGTGCCAGCTTCTCTGGCAGAATAAACAGTTTTTGCCAAGTATAGTTAATTAATAAACTAAAGCCTGATTGCAGTTGCCAAGCAACGTAGGCACATTTATATAGAATAGCCTACATAAAACACAGTTCATTCAATACAAAATTTAGAGTCAGAATCTGTTTTAGAATGGTACATTTAAAATGTAACAGGCTAAAATAAAAGTGTCTGGCCTTGCTTTTCATTATCCTGCCAACTTACAGCACGTGATAGAAACTATAACTTCTTAGTTATATGTAGGCTAAATATTAAACTGTTTCAGAGTTTTTTTTCTGTCTTTTTCCTATCACAATTTTGAAAAGATCGGGCCCAGTTGATGGTGGAGATGAAAAGCCCTGGCTTAAAATATACATTTTAACTAGAGGACATAGAGAGCATATTGTCTTGCAACCTGTCAAAAGGTTCCTCTAGAAAGGCAAGGTCAAAATGTTTTCCAAGGTGCCACTTTGCCCAAATGCATCTAGGCAGAACAATGAGAGAAAAAGGCAATGGTGCTTAGACACTTTAATGCTACTGATAGTCACCCACCCACATGCAAGCACCCATGCATACTCACATACATAATTATCTTCACACACGAACATACACGCACACGTAGGTTGTCAAAAAACATAATTCAGTATGATTTATAAGCTGTTTTCCTCATGGGAACAAAAAATATCCCCATAACGTCAAAAAATGCAGGTTTTACCAAGTGTCCCCACAACATTTGTTTTATCTGGGTTAAATCATATGACTCCCATTATAGAAATGAACAGGCTTGTTTAAAAGCACAAGTCAAACTGTAGTGGAGAGCATCTTGTAGACTAGAGAGAGACTATCAGTGGTACAGTATAAGCCGAAACCATAGTGACAGCAGAGACAACCTGGTACGGTCATGTGTACTGAAGTTAAAGCTTCCACAAGCGACAGTTTGCCTTTGGGAACATCAGTGACATCACAGAAACCATAGGGCTCGCCCGGTAGACTGTACTTCAGCGCCCTGCGCTGCATCTCCTCCTCCACCTTATTAACCTTGGGAACTGTTTCAGCCTGCAGCACACAGAGCACAGAGAGTCAGCTACACTAGTAGAGGGCAGTGCACACCACCTCTTTTTTAAAGGGGTCATATGATGCAATTTCAAGTTTTCCTTTCTCTTCGGAGTGTTACAAGCTGATTGTGCATAGATAAGATCCCTGAAGTTGCAAAGACTAAAGTCTCAAAACCAAGGAGATATTCTTTATCAAAGTTAAGACTCTTCCACACCCCCCTAAAACGGCTCGTTCTAACACGCCCCCACATATCTAGGTCACTATGTGCGAATATTTGCATAATGCACCCAAATGTGCACGCAAAGAAAGAAGGCGTGGTTTCAGTAACCGCAGTTAGTGTTGAAGCAGCCAT